ATTATGGTGTTGTTATATAATAAATCAGTGTATAGTTTTACAAAAGGTGAAGATATACTAATGTAGACAATGATAAACTAGACAAAAATGCAATTTAAATTGAAAATTATTATGTTAACATTCATTTACAAGGCACATGTTGAAATCATTTAAAGACTACGTATCACTTCAAAGTATATATTTACATTTTTAGGCATATATTATTATAATTGTTAATTCTTACAGGTAAAATTTATATAATATATATAATTAACATATTTTTAACATTTGAAAACTTATTGCGTGATATGCCTTCTGCATACCAGATGTAACAAAATTTTAATTATGTTGCGTATTAGTAAATCACAAAGGACTACTACTACTACTACTCGCCGCTGAGCAGGCTTCGACTAAGGTACCACACGGGATTTTCACTGCTCATCGGATTTGAACTACTTCCGGTCAAACCCCAGCCAAGGCTAGGGTGAAAGTACAGACAGCATTACTGGGTTAAAAAAAAAAAAAAAAAAAAAAATAGTAATAACATGGGCAAACAAGGCTCTTGAAGAAGGTACAGTTTTTAGCGAAAAAACACTTACTGAGTTGTTCTACTAATAAACAGAGTAATTCCGGAAAACATACCAATAGTGAAACAACAAAACAAACATACCAATAGTGAAACAACAAACAAAGTTGCTGTACAGAATGTGTATAACAGTACTACGTTTACTGCAATTACAAAATAATTACAAAACAATTAAAGAATTACAAAAATTGCTGGGCTGCAAAATGGATAAGAGCTATAGAGCTATGAAGTGCAATGGAGTGGCTAGCTATCTTACAATTGGACAGATGTGGAGTTATTGCCGCGACTGCGTAACAGTCATATAGGCTGTTGTGCAGTAGCTCATGATACGTTCAAGTTTTTTCAATGCTAACCTATTATCTAAAACGCTAGCTGTCCATACCTGCCAGTGCTCATGAGAAGGTCTTGCATAAACGAAATCTCGCGGTATTCCTACATTCAAATGCAAAGTGGTCTGGATCACCTTCATCACCGCACTTCAGTCACAAAGGACTGTCACTGAGTGACATAAAATCAATCTTGATTACCGTAATTTGGTTTTTAATCGATCCCTGAAGCAGAGCAGTAATTATTTTGGGGGCTGACATAGAAAATTTATATTAATCTGTTAAAAAAAGAAAAAGCTGTAAAATTTCCAAGCTTTAAAATTAAATACTTCGCTCGATTTTTGTCATTACCTATTCCTTTGGGGAGGGGGTTGTAAGTATAAACTTTTACGCGAACCACCATAAAAGATAGATTTTTTAAATTTTTTTAAAACTGATTTTTTTAAATTTAAAAGTACAATGACATGAAAATGTGCACCATTTAAAACGTTTCTGTAACTATATAGGTTTGTGTAAGTATTTCTCAACGACTAAGGGTTGCAAAAAATAAAAGCTGCATGAGGATTGTTATAGACGTGTTACAGTGCGTAGGAATATTACAGAGTTCCATTAATTTTTAGTCCTTCACTATCATTTGACAGCCATGTATATGATAGTGGAAAGCATACGAAACTTATCTATTTTAGGATTGGATTATTTAAGCAAAGTAGTACACGAGAGTTCTCTGCCTAAGCTCTATCTCAATTTTGACTGAAATCAGCCCAGAGAATGCTATATGTTTTAAAGAATTTACATTAATTAGGAAATTTTATTAATTACACATGAGAAAAATTATGAAAATAAACATACAGGTGGGATCAAACTACTGGTGTTTAGTTAATTACTAGTGTTAACTACTAGTGCTTAGTTATTTTAATCATTCAATCCCAGGATTCATTAGTTTATAACCTTTTAAAATCACATTTTATGAAAAATTACTCTGCTTCATATTAGTTTTTATTTAGTTCTCTCATGATGTTTGTCAACATGGTCATAACTTTGCTGTCGATTTTTAAACTATTTCCTGACAAACTGTGTAGCTAAAAATTTGCACACACATTCACTGTGGATGGCAATAGAATGTGGTGAAGCGATGATTTCAGAATTCGATTTTAATATTTTAAATTTTATGCTTTTACGCTTTTATTGTTCATGGTGTAAATTTGTAGATAAATTCTGTAAACAGAATTATTTAATTTCCTATTCTCATTAAACTATGTGATAAATTATTTTCTCTTTTTAATTTATTAATTATTTTATGAGTTTTAAATAAAAGCGTAGTTTTTAAAAAACATTTTTAAATTTTTTATTTATCTCTCTCTCATAATATTGAGGATGAGTGCAGTTTTAAAATTCAGCTTTGATATTATTAATGTTGATTTCTGAAATATCATGTGGAAAAAAAAGGAAAGACAAATAAAAATAATTTGTATATTAGCAGAGTTATATGTGTATGTACAAATATTAAGAATTTTATACGTTGCCATGTACTATAAAATACACTTGTGTGCAAAATTTAGAGAATTTGCACATTATGTCAAATTTATGAAAAACTAGTGTACATATTTTAAAGAAATTTAATATGAATATACATTTATACAAAGAGAGATGTACCATTGAAAAGTCCCTTTATGTACATTATTGTCATTTTATGTACGATTATCTGTAAAGCTCATTGTGCGAGGATGTCCAAAATCCACGTTGTGATAATGAACTGAAAATGAGTCTAATATGGGGTATGGTCACCTCTCACAGCCAGAAACGTTGCCCCGTGTCACGGTATACTGGATCGGAGGCAGCTGAGGAGTCTCTGTAGCAGTCGTTTCCACTCCTGCAACAAAGCAGTTTTCAACTCCAGGATGGTTTTTGGATGGGGATGGTGAGATGAAATTGCCCTCCCAAGAGCGTCCCAGGCATGCATTATAGAGTTAAGGTCAGGATATCTGGCTGGCTAATTCATGCAATGAATATCATCACTTCCCAGATAATCGTCGACCAGCTGAGCCCTATATAGAGGAGCGTTGCTGTTCATCAGCAAGAGCTCAGGACATCTTCGCCCTTGAAAACTCGAACATAGGGCTGTAAGATCTCCTCTCTATACCTCATAGTAGTCAGGAGTATCTCTGTACCTCATAGTAGTCAGCCTTTGTCAAACGCATGCAAAGGTGTGCGGCCGCTCAACGTAGTTCCAACCGAAACCTTTACACCTCCACCACAGTAATGATCTTTTTCCATGATGAGGGAGGGAGGGTATCGTGCTCCAGGCTCTTTCCAGATAGAGGTACGCCAAGAACCAGTGTGCAGGTTGTATCTGTAGAATGATTGTTGCTGCACTGAAATCTGATTCAAAGCTGTTGTTGCAGTGAGAGGGACGCAGAAACAGGTCTTCTGACGTACAGCCTTATCTCATTAAGGTTGGCAACATACAGCTCATGAGAGAGCTGTGAAGCTGTAGCAGTCCTGTGTGGCCTCGCTGAAAGCACAAAATAACGATACTCATTCATTACTGTAGATCTTGATCGACCTTGTCCAGGTCTTCTGGATAGGCATCCAGTAACCTGAAACTGTTTCTACAAATTCCAGATGACACTGGCGTTACATTGAGCTGTGTAGCTATCTGCGCTTGTGATTGGCTTGCTATCAATCTACCGACAATTTTCCATCCCATTCCGTCATCCATACGTTCGTGGTTACTCATTTTCCTGATATCGTATGAAATTTACCCAACTCTTGCGAAAAACACGGTGAATATTGTGAAGAAGTACGAGCACACAAATCGCCGAAAATTTCTCGTGTGTGCTTACATATTCGACTCTGAATATTTCCATAATTCTTCGGTGGCATAATTAGTATCTTTGGCTCAGTGCTTTTCGTAAAAATAAGCATAATTTGCAACTTCTCTTAATTTTAATATTAGTCTGTGTGTGCATGAAAATATTCGTATATGCATGCAAGCATATTCTGTAAAATACATAGGATTGGATTAACATGCTCATTCGGAACATATATTAAGTAACTAAGACAATAACTATGATTGATATTTGCTATTTTTTATTAGTAATTTATTTTGCCGTATCCATTTTGAATCAGAATTCGTACTAGTTGACCTGATGGAATCAAAAATTTCAGCAACACATTCTTATGCCTTTTTAAAACGATAAGTTGCATATATTTTCAATACAACGATCTTGGGTTACCCTACAAGCACATGTGTAATTTTTTCAATGTATTTATACAAATAATATCATGTATTTGAAGTATTGGCATTTATCATATAATGGATACGTATAGAATTAAAACTTTTCTTTGTATAGAATAGAGTATGTTTGAAGAATGGAAATGCTAAGTAAGTTCGAAACGAGTATATTGATGAACATAACCGATTCAACCGAGAAAAGACTCATTATTATTCCAAGAAACTCATTATTATTCCATTATTTGGACTCATTATTATTCTAAGAAAATTAAATTCCGTTATTGGATATATAAGATGCCTTAAATATGTGCAGAATTAAACTCCTTCTCTATACTGAATATCTCTGCAGACTTGAAAATTTAATACGAAGGAAACATTGATGGACTTACTCGATTCAACGAAAAAATTGGCTAAATTTAGTATTATTCTCATTCTTTGCATTAAAATGATGAAATTAACGGATTCAAAAAGAAAATGCAGTTCTATTATTATTGGTTATTTAAGATAACATTTCATTGTAAAGAATTGAAATTCTTCTTTCTGTTGAATATGGATGCAGGATGGAAAATTAAATATGACAAGAAAATTGATGGATTAACTGATTTCAACGATAAAGGGCTGAATGCAGTATTATTCTCATTCTTTGTCTTAAAAGTTGCTTTGGTAGTTCGGTCTGAGGTTCGAATACCGCGAACGGGCTGCCTGCATGGGAGATTTCGTGGTTTTTCCCATGTGTAACGTGTATACAAGCCAGTTTCCCTTAGAAAGTCCTCCACGAAGGCGTCCCCCACCTTAGGCAGCTAGCCCTCGAGGCTTTGCCATAATCACATAAACCAAACCAAACTTAAAAAGTACATAATGCTCTTTTTTCCAGGCCTGTGGGCGACACGTCAGATGAAAGGCAAAGAAGATGATAAGGAATGGTACGTGAAAACTACTCTTCGAGAACTCTTCACCTACATAGTCTTTCTAGTCCTTCTCTCTATCAGTAAGTATGAAGTTGTTTTTCTTATAAGCAAATAAATGTTTATCGGTATTCACAGAAATCGTAACTTGTGTCATTCTTGAGGAATAGCGGGTGTCCCAAAAAATAATGATGATATGTGGTATTTATTCATATGATGAGAAACGTGATGAAATATAGTCTGAAAAATAGTATTTTGTTTTCCCTGCTATTAATGACTAACATACACTCCTAAAAGAATTGCAGTGTTTCTACGTGTTCGTCATTGAATTGCAGTGTTTCGATGTATTGCATCATTAATAGCATGCTCACACAATATTCTACCTCTTCCCGTAGCTGGGAAGTAGTTCTTCAGATCTCTTCAGGTAGGCGAAGTTCTGATTCGGAGTAGATCCATTTTCTTCCAGGCACTGTGTTAAGAAATGAATATTGAACATATCTTGCTTACCATTATAAAGAATAGTGAAACCTTATTCTAGCTAAAAGTAGACTATTGAATTTCTTTATTTCCTTAATTTTAGAGAATAAAAAAGTTTCTTAATGTCTAGATATGCGATGTTCCGTTAAAAGGAGTATAAAATGGCATTTTTATTTATTAATTTATTTAACATACTGCAGAACTTGGCATGAATATTTCAAGTTCTTGTATCTGATTTAAATGTCTTTAAATGTTTATTTTTTCACTTTATCCTTTAATGAATATGAATAATGAGAAATAATTACTTCTAAATATAAAATGTATTTTATTAAAATTTTATATTTCTTGTATGTTTTCTGTTTCTTAAATCACTAAATTAGAATTAACCATAGATGTTTCAGGACACTATCCTCTGCGTTAATTGATTATGACCAAAAATTTTTTCGTTTTATTTCAAGGTACATAAGTATAGTATTTCATGTGCTACCTCACACTGTCATGACAGATTTGACATATGATTTTAAAAATAAATCAGAAACCTTTGCTAAATAAAGAAACGCAACCTTAGAATCAAAGTGTGTGTTTTCTCGTTGAATTGAAAAGAAAAAGGCCAAATGTTTGTAAATTTCAGGATATTCATTCAAGATTATTGCTAAATAGTTATTCAAGATTATTTGCTCTAGCAATAATCTTGAATGAATAACTAACTTGAAACTGCATTTTTCTTTTGGCATACATTAACTTTGTTCATGACATTAGGATTTTAATAAAATATATTACTTCATTCCTTTTTGATTTTTATATACTTTCCTTTAATACAGTTTGTATTTTAGAAAACAACTGAGTTTGAACTAGTTCATTAAAATTTTTAACTAATATTAAATGTTTTGCAGATACCTTTATTTTTATAGATTCAGTAGAAATAAAAAATAGTACGACGTGTACCAGAAAGCTAATAAACTGATTGTAGTTATGCTATCTATTGAAAAATAAATATTCTTCGTGTAGGAAAGTAACTGAATTTCTAAAATTAGACATCACGTTTTTCATGTCGAATTTATACAATATCACTAAAAGTAATGGCTCACAAAGTAAACAAAACACATTACATCTAGCTGTAATACGTAATTCTTTTCTGTTGGATATATGTCGAACACTGTGGACTAGGCAGCATGTTGTCGTACATATTCCTTTAAATTAATTTAATAGCTTCTTAAAAAATTGTTATGCTGTAATATATTTTATATACATTACAAAAAAAAATTTATGCAAAGAAACATCTTTAATTTCATGAAAAAGAACGAGTGATCCAAATAATTTGAGTTTTCCTATGTACGAAAAACAAAGATATATGGTAAAATTTGAATATGTTATAATACTGAATAAAGGAATCGAATTAACTTACCTTGTGGATAGATTGGTTTTATAAGTAGGCGGCTAAACCGGAAATAAGTGATTCTGTGTCGACTGAGAACAATTGTTCTACTTTCATTTCAGTGACCTTTGGAATGATGAGTCCGACCATGTATTACCAGACAAAGGTAATGAGTGAACTCTTCTTAGATTCTTCGTTTGCGGATAATTCCGGCAGCATGAGGGAAGCTACACAAATGACGGATTTTTGGAAGGTATGGAATACTTGAAGGGAATTGCGTATCTTGAACTATGCTTTTCTAATTACAGTGCGTTTTCGGCTATTAAAGAAGTAATAATAATGATAATAGTAATCTTTCTGGCTTACGATACGTTTTAATTAAGATAGAGATATGAAATTCGTCAAATAAAATTGTTAATATGTAAATAACTTTAAGCACAAAATTTGTAATTTTTTTATTTAAAAATTCACTGGTCTGTGCATTTAATAAAAAATTAAATTATTTTTTGCATTTTTAATAACAATTAACTTTTTGAATGATTCACATTTTGTAGTTCGCAAAAGACGTATTAGTGGAGAATTTGTACTGGGAGAACTGGTACAACGACCAGGAGACGAACAACGACGACCGGAACATTTTATACGAAAACAGACTCCTGGGCTCACCCCGAATCCGACAGCTGAGAGTCCGCAACGATTCATGCAACGTCCATTCAGATTTCAAAAAGGCCATAACTCAATGTTACGACGTTTATTCACCTCACATAGAAGATACGGAGCCGTTTGGACTCATGAACGGCAGCGCGTATGTATATTTCACATAACTGGCCATGAAAAGTGTGTTTTTACACATGAGAATTTCTGTTTTTATTCATTACACGTAGTTTCGTATGAGATATTGCGAAGGTATATAGAATAAATGTTTTTTAATGCAGCCTTTAGTATAAATTTGTGTTACTGCAAAAATTTGTTTTGCAAATTTAGATTTGTATCATTGACGTACGTAGGAGTTACGGTGAAACCTTGGTTTACGAACTTAATTCGTTCCTAAAGATAGCTCTTCTTCCGAAATATTAGTAAACCGAAATAATTTTCCCCATCGGAATTGATGTAAAATGAATTAACCCATTCCTGGATCCCAAATGGCTGCTTAGAAAAGAGAACTTTGTGCATAAGAGTACTAAGTTCATAATGCAAAATCAGTGGAATTCATTAAATCTAACACATAGGCAATATTAATACATATGTTACCGACAGTGTAAACGACACGACGGCATTCTACAGAGTGCCTGACGTTTTTAGGAAAAATATGAAATATGAGAATTATTATGAACTTTCGCTAGGCATTGTATATAATACCTAGGCTTGCTGTAGAATGACAAATATTTTTTAGGCAAAGTATGAGAAAAGGTCATGATAAGGGGATTATTTAAAATTATTATTATTATTTTATTATATTATTATATCCATTTCATCATCATTACTATCGCCACAAAAGGTATGAATTTTTTGACGACACTTTGCACATGCATGTGCTTCACTCGTTTCTTTTAAACACAAACCTACAGGTAGCAGAAAAGGAAATTTCTTCGGTAAACATGTTATCATCATGTTGGTTTAATCCACCAATCGACCATAATCTCATGATCCGAAACAAATTCCTTATAAATTGGGAAAGAATTTAAGACTTTGCCGGTTTATCGTTTGCCATTCTATAGAATACCTAGGAAATGTATGAAATGTTAAACTTTTCATGGATTGCTGGCAGAATGCGGGCTTTCATATATTGCCGGTAACATCTACGTACTATTTAACATAATACTAAACACATAAAAAATAAGAAAACTGGAATTAAATTTTACCGACCGTATCTGTACGAAGAAACGTTGATGGCGTAAGTAGAAAACGGTGAAGAGTCCGAAAAATGCAAAATTGTATTGTTTGAAAGTAAAATCCTATTCCGTAAAAATCTCAGATAATTTGTCTTCCTGGGGTTTTTTCTCTTTTTCTTGACATCGCTGACCTTTGCTTAAGAATCGTTGGATCTTTCCCGTTAACAATTTACCCAATGTGATTTGTTTCTAGCTATGCTTTAATATGTTCCTAAAGCAAGACGTCACATTGTCATTTGTGTGTATTTGTGCTACTGCTTACTATTGTACAGAGTAAAAATGTTCTATGAACCTTTGCAACTTACCCAATTTTGCACATTCGTTGGTGAAATAACTAGGAACATTTTCCTTGAAGACATTTCCTCCACTGCATTAATTGCATTTGAATATCATTTGTTGCCAGCTTGCTTGTTCATATTTCGAGACATTGTTCGTCATTCAAGACATTCTTCTTTGGAACATTTCTTCGTGATCCAAGGCGTTCGTGAATCAAAACCGATTTTTTAATCTTTAACGTATTTGTATTATTTTGTTGTTTCAACTATTATTATTATTATAAAGAATATTTGTGTCTCTGAACTTATCTCATTTATGTTAATTGTTTACCAAAACTTCTTCAATGAACTAATGAAGTTTAAATAAAGCTGTGAAACTGTGTAAAAATATACAATAGTTACAACTTCCTCAGGAGTGCTACTTTATTAATAAAAAAGAGCATTTTAATCGTTAAGCCCGCAGAGAAATAACCTTTTGTTGGCAAATGAAAAACGTAATGTGCCATATTATTTCGAATTTAAGCTGCATTTTTATTCAGATTTTTAAGACTGAAAATTGCAGCGTGCTTCAGTTTTCAAAGCGTATATTTTATCATCTTTATTTCTATAAGTTCTGGAAATGTAGATATCGAAAATGATTATATATCTGTAAAAGATTCTCAATGAATTAGGTAGTTATAATATTATTAATAACCATTCAAGTAAATAAAGCTGCTTTTTATTTTTTAATGCCTACTATAAACTCACTTTTATTTTTTTATTATTTTTCCAATTTTGCTGTTTTAAAATCTTGTTAAGTTTAAATTCGAGGGCAGCTATTTTATTATTTCTTCTAATTTCCCAATTATAAAATCTTACTGCTGCTTAGATTTAAAGTAATGTGATATTTTCAGATTTTAGAATATAGATTAAGCACTGAAACTCGAATTTGAGTATATGCTATGTTTCTAAATTCTGTATTTATATACACCTTGTTCATAAAGTCCTCACAGGGCATATATTTTCGCAAACACAGGGCATATATTTTCGTGTGCAAGTATTTCCGATCATAAAAATGTTTTAAATGAAGAAAATATTCATGTTATTTTTAAATCTAAAAAATAAATTTTGTAAAATTTAGGAAATTAAACACCTTCGTACGACAAAAATGGATTGATACATTTAATTTTTAGGGTTAATAATTTTTTTAACATTTTTCATTTATGAAAAAAAAAAGAACTACTTATCATTTTCCTTGAGGAGTCAGTTAAAAACAAATTAGGGTAATTAGAAATTAATGTTTATTAGCCGTTTAATATCTTTCAAGGATATTCCTTTTTGATTTTCTAGAGTGTATCATTCTTTAATTTATAATCTGTTCTACTTCGTATGCCGAAATCATTTTCGCGTAAGTAATTTATAAGTTCCAAATGCTAAAAATTCACATACAGTGTTATTATTTGAGGATCATAAGGTGTCTTTTAAACTAATATTTCATTTTTAATTACATATAAATTTAAATATTCCCCTTTTTAATTTGTATATGTCCGCTGAATTTTTAGACCTGAAATTTTAAAATTAAATATCTCGGTTCATTTTTGTCGTGTGGAAACCATACATTTGTGTTTTACTTTTTACAATGAATATGAAATTTGATTAAATATATGTATATAGGGGTCTGTATAAAAGGTAAAATTTAATAATTTTCACAAAATTGAATTCACTGTAGAGTTTATATTTATTTTAACTAACATTTATTTTAAGTTTAAACTATCTTTCCTGTCAAGCCTTACTTTCCCCTGGAACTGCCAATGCCAGAATATGTAAATTTTAGTAGAACGCGCAAGCATTCAAATTATCAGCGGAAGTATTCTGATTTAAATAGAAGGAAACGAGTTCGGTGTGATATTCTTACTTAGCGAGCGCGGAGGTAGTTAGCGAGAATTGAAGAACCCCGCGTTGCGGCCTATGTGCTTGGCGGGAAGTAGTGGAAATCGTTCCAGTGAGCTTCAAGTCTGCTGAATTAGCAGCGGTATTGTAAAACGCGGTGAGTTAGTTATTTTAGAGAGCCTCGTAGTTAGAATCTTGTCTTTATTTTCTTTTCAGGTTATTATTTTTATTTGACTGCCAAGTTGGCACCGTCTGTAAGCGTCAAGAGAACGCAATTGTAATTTATTACGTTGAATAAAAAGGGACTTAAACCCTTCAAAAGGCTCTATCTTTTATACAAGTTTTCACAGTCACCTCTTGGTTGCGTGCAAGTTGGAGGCGCGCAACGTTATATTGGCGCCCGAACACTTATCGAACTGAAACGGCCGAAAACTGGATGGAAGCCGCTGGACAACACCAAGAAATGACAACTCAGTTAGAAGGATTTGGATACCTGGTCCAGACTTTGAGAGCGTCAATCAAGCCAAACGTCTATTTCGACGGAAAAAATTCGGTGTCGGTATTTCTAGAAGGTCTAGAAAACCACTTTCAGCTCTACCCTGTTGCCTGAAAGACAAAAAGTTGCCATCGCCACATCAGCACTAAGAGGACAGGCCGCGCTATATGGTGGAAAAAACATAGGAAAATTTCTATTAGGGTGAATTTGGAAGCCCGACGTATACATTTGAAAATTTCAAAATATCGTTAGTAAAGGCCTTCCCCATAGTGAAAGATCGCGCACGGCTGGAAGCCGAACTATATAGTTTCTATCAACGGGATACAGCACAATTGACGGACTTTATTTTACGAAAAATGAAGCTAACGGATATGTTCTATGTAAAAAAACCCGATGCGGAGATAATTGAAATAATATTACCAAGATTGTTACCCGCTGTCCAAGACTACTTTGAAATTAGAAACCCAAGCACATTGCAGGAACTTTTCGAATTGGCGGTGAAGTTTCAAAATCGCAGAATATCGGAAAAAGCGAGAGGGGAAACATATTCTCAACATACCCGAAGGAAGGAGGAAACCAGAAATGGAAATCGCTCATATGGGGGAGAGAACTATCAAGCTAACGCATCGAAACTCGAAGGTCAAGGCCCAAAAAGAAAATTTGAAAATAAGCATCCGCGTACCCAGAAGACACAGATTGAAAGGAAAGCTTTAAACGACTAGAGGGGCCTGTGAAAGGGAGGGTCCAGACCCCGGAAGTTTTAAAAAAACCCTCAAATAGACATTTAAACAACGGTCATCGTAAAAAACTCACAGCTACCAATTATACAAGTCCTGGTTGGCGATGTACCAGTAGAAGCCCTCATCGATACAGGAGCAGAAGGAAATTTTCATGAGTGAAAAGTTCTTCAAAAAGAATTTTTATAGGATACGACTATTTAAAACCCAAAAATACGGAAATTATAGCGGCGCAAGGAAAAACATATCACTGCATCGGGAAAGTATCATTAAACTTACAGGTAAAAGAGGAAAATCTCAAAGTATTAATTTTTGTGTGAAACATCTGCTCTCTTATTTTAGGTATGGACTTTTTAAGGGCCGCGAGGGCCAAATTAAATTTTCAAGATAGTTCCGTGGTGTTGGAGATGGACCAGAGGTGGTGGAACCTGTGGAGACACCTGAATTGGACCTTAGCCATCTGAATGACCAGGAAAGTAAAGCAATACAGCAAGTGGTGAGTAATTTTTCTCATTTGTTTTCAGAAAAACCGGGAA